ATTTTCATTACATATAGTATTCCATAGAAAAGAGACACTATTGACAACTTTATGTGGGCTACCTGAATTTTCCTCTGTTATTTATAAAGTTGGTATTTTTTATTTTTTTCTTTTCCTTCCTTCCATTCCTCCTTCCTCTACCCTGGTTCCTCTTTCCTTTTGAGTAATTTCTTCCCATTTCACAACTATTGTACATTTTGGACCTTATTTACTCTTTCAGTTTCTCACACCAGGGAGACAATACTATGTTTATACATGTGAGTCTGATTTATTTCACTTAAAGAGTATGGTTCTCAAGGAGCATGCAGTTACCTATAGAAGTCTCAAGTTTATCCTTCTTTATGGCCATTGTATAAAAAAACCCGTATCTTCTTCATCTATTCCTCAGTTGATGGGCATCTGGGTTGCTTCTAAGATTTAGCTATTACAAAGTATGTTGCTATAAACATGGATGCACTTATAATGTTGTGGTATGATGTTTTTAATTCTTCTGGGAAGATATCCAGAAGAGGAATAGCTGGGTCAAATAGGACTGCTAATCCCAGTTTCCTGAGGAATCCCCATACTGATGTCATAGTGGTCGCACCAGTCTACACTCCCTCCAACTGTGCAGAAGGGTTAGTTTTTCCCCGCAGCCCCTCCCTCTAGCATTTGTTTTTGGTTGATTTCTTGATGACAGCCATTCTTTCTGGAGTGACATGGAATTTCAGCATTTTCTAAAATTTGTATCTCTCAAATAACCAGTGATGTTTAACATTTTTTCATATATGTAGTTGCCTTTTATATTTCTTCATCTGAGAAGTATATATTCATCTCAGATACCCATTTTTGGACTGGGTCTTTAAATTTGGGGGGTCTGATTTTTTTCAATTCTTTATATGTTCTAGATATAAATCCTCTGTACTTTAATACTTCTATTTTCTTTTTTTTATCCAGCTTCTGATCATATGAACCACTTAAAGAGGTAGCAGCAATTAGTAGTAGAGAAATAAGCTGCATTCTACACAAACCAAAGGATCTTCCTTGCCTAGAAAAAATAGTAATTTGCCATCCAAATGGCCAGTGGCACTAATGAACACAGTACATGCATTCTCAGATTGGCGATCATTAAATAGCAATGAGCATGAATGCAGAACTGGCATAGTCAACAATTTTTTTGTAAAATATGATGAAAGCTTCTTCTTAGTCTGAGAAATGTCTACTTTTGCTGCAGGAAGTAAGATACGTATAGGTGATCTATAACCTAATTAATTCCCTTTGTCACTGGATCAGTACTCTCCTTCAATGCAAAAGGGCCTTGTTAAACATTTTCTCTCACCTCTTCCTTCTACCTGTCAGCATCACTTTTTGTTTGAAACAGAGTCTCTCTATGTAGTCTAGGCTACTCTTGAATTTACTATGTGGCCCAGGCTGGCCTTGAACTTGCAGTGATTTTCTTTTCTCAGTCTCCCAAGTTCTGGAATTATAGGCATCTACCACCTTGCCCAGCCAGCATCACCTTTTGACTGGTCACCTGTCAGGCTTACTGAAAGTGCTCAGCATGTGTTACCCTGGGATCCTCACGATGTGTGGCAAAAATCATCATCCACATTTTATAGGAGAAGAAACTGGGACACAGCTTAAAATTTTTTCCAGGGCTGGGGGTGTAGCTCAGCGGCACAAGCGCTTGCCTGGCAAGCCTGAGGTCATGAGTTCAATTCCCGGTACCAAAAAAGAAAAACAAAAAGAAATTTTCCTAGCAGCTGAGCATGGTGACACACACTGTATCTGCAATCCCAGCTACTCAGGAGGCTGAGGTAGAAGGATTGTAAGTTCAAAGCCAACCTGGGCAATGTAGTAAATTTAAATGATTACAATGGACAATGTAAAATTTTAAAAAGGCAGGGAATGTAGCTCAGGAATAGAACACTTGACTAGCATGTGTGAAGCCCTAGGTTCAGTTCCCAGAACAAAAAAATGAAAGGAAAGAAAAGAAAAAGAAAACTTTCCCAAGTCATACAAGTTTCTCAGGGGTTAAGAGAATATTAAAATTTAATCTGTTGTCTCCTGAGTCTGCACCCGTAATAGCCTAGATATAATCCTGCCTTCTTTATCATTTACTGATTTTTTATTATATGAGTTCCTTTATTTGTTATTTGTGCAATTTCCCCATAAATAATATAAAGGAGGGATTTGCTAGCATTTTGTGTTTCTTCAATTCTGAGATAATATCAATTTTTATCTCACATTTACCTATGAATTGAGACAGGGTCTCACTATGTAGTTTAGAGTAGTCTTGAACTCAGTATGTAGCCTCCTCTCTGGTCTTGAACTCACAGTGATCCAAACTGAGCTTCCCATGCTGTACAGGTACACGACCACGCCTGGCTATTAATTTTATTTTTAACTGTACCAATAAGCACATGTATAATTTAACCATTTTTAAGAGTACAGTTCAGTGGTACTAAGTACATAAGGAAGGAAGGGAAGGAAGGAGGAAGTGAGGCAGGAGGCACGGAGGGAAGACTGAAAGAATTCCAGCTAAAATGTATATGTATTCTCATTTTAAAATCATAAACCACAAACTGCACGTGGCAGTGCATGTCTGTAATCCTGGCACTCTGGAGGCTACAGCAGGAGGATCTCACGAAGTGTGAGGCCAGCCTGAACTCCCTAGTGAGACTTCACATATCATTAAATTGTAAGCACAAGATCTTCTACCTCTTGGAGCTCAATGCTGCTTGAGGCTCTCTTTTGATTCTAACATTAAAGTCTACCATGGTAGGGACACAGTGACTACTTATTTCACACTTGTGCCTTTATTATTCCAAACACCTGTCTCTGCTGCTCTTCATGCTTTGGTTTTTGCCATCTTTCTTATTTTTTTTCTTTCATTCTCTGCATGCCTGAGAAAATATACTTAATTTGGAAGGTTTGGGATCAATACCAGGGAATAGGTAAGTAAATTAGATAAATATAAATAAATTTAACAAAAACCAAACACTTCTGTCTCTAGATCCACATCTACTCTATTTTGTTATTATTTTTAATATGATAACTGAATATTCATAAGTTCTGTAAAGTATCTGTCATACTGTGGATTCAAAATGTCAAATACTAAGATGGAAAACAACCAAAACTACAAATCAACAAGCCAGTATCCATCCACAGAGTAAATCTAAAATAAATAACTTCAGTTCATTTGAATATACATATTACTTATCATTCACTACAAATATAATTATTGAGCACTCACTGTTTGCTAGGGATTATTCTAGACATCAGGAGTACAGTGATTTGTCTTTGTTTTTGTTTTATTTAAAGGCAAAACTCTCTGACTCACAATGCTTATATTCTGGCTGGAAAGACAAAATGAATGATATAGAAGTTACATGTATATATGTATTCATATATATATGAAAGTGGTAAATGCTAAGAAAAAATGAAGCAAGAAGAAGGAACGAATGTGTGTAACTTTAGATGAGGTGGCAAGGGCCTAACAGAGCATGGCTTCTGAGTAAACAGCAGAAGGATGTAGGGGAGGAGACAGCTGGGGAAGGAGCTTTCCGCACAGACAGCACAACCAGTGCAGAGGCCTGGAGGCCATGCTGAGGACCAGCAAGGTCACCACCCAGTTTCTGAAAGACAACTGACATGACCTAAGTTACTCTCAGATGACAGCATCATCATCACTGCTGCCTTTTACAATTCTCAGAAATATTTCAGCAGATTAAACACTTGTTAATGGAAATGTCTTCAGCACAAGTCAGAAGTTCAAATAGGTGACCTTGACCATGGCTACACTGTGGCCTCTGGATACAGATTTGGAAATGGCTCTTCCATCAGAAGAAAATTCCTTGCTCCCTGTATTTCTGTATGTCAGGAAAACATGGAGTAAAAATTGATATAGAAAGTAGAAATATGCTAAAGAATATGTTAAGAAACACCAAATTTCAGATCATGAAGAAATTCCAAACAAATACAGACTCTGGAGGAGACACAGAGTTAGTATAAAGCATAACAATACGATACTAAGTACCTCTAATTATTAAGGTCGTATGGCTGACTACACTCATGAAAGGGCTGTACTACCTCCACTCAGAAACGGAAAGGTAAATTGAGGGTGGACATATCACTCGGCAAAGGACTGGCTGAGGGAACCAGCTGGGGGCATTATATGAAAATGTAAGGTGTGCTACTGATGTTCCCAGAGCAGGCAGCTTTCATTTCGGCTGCAGATCACGATTCTTTCATATAATTTTCTTTAGTTTTTATATAAACACAATGAACTCATAAGCATATTCATGCACCTTCCTGAAAATTGAGTATTTTAAACATTTACAAAGTATCACCATTTCTATCTTCTCCTTTGAATAGGTTTCTGTGACTGTCTTTAAATTTCATGTGCTCAACATGTAAAAGCCATGGTATTTATCACTGTGCCCAGAGAAAGGACAGCTTAGCCACATCAATTTTTGAGACAGATACCTTGTTCACTGTGTAAGAACACCACTCAAAGCCCAAGTGCACAACTTAACTCCAGCACGGAAACTGAAATGAGTGTCACACACCAGTAGATGGCACTTCATGATAAATACTGCTACAAACCTCTATTGCTTTTTGAAGTGTCCACTCGGTAGACTTTCCATTTACAATTGCTATTGAGCCTTTTTTAGTGAATTTCCCATTATAACTAAGCAAGTATCTATTGTACCCAAGGTTCTTTCCTTTACAGTATTGTTTTAAGCCACAGTACGTAGACAAAATCTGAAAGCCAGTCCATTTCTCTATGTAGATTCAGGTGACCTGTTGGCTCTCATAAAATACACAGTAACAGTACTTTTTAAAAACTTACTCTCATAGTCAAAAGGCATTAGAATCTCATAGGGAATATAATAGAAGCAAGCCCATTGTGCTATAACTTATTTTTGGTTTGTTTTACTAAATAGCTATAGTACATTCTGAATTTTGGAATGAGGCACAAAAGACTGATGGCACAGATATGCAACATAGATATCTACCATTTGACTCTGAAGCCATTCAATAAGTGTCTCTGCTGTTGAATCTGGGATCTGGCATCTCAAACCTTCCTTCTCATCTGTTTCCATCATCTCTAATAATCCACGCAGGTCTTCCACGAGGTGCAGAGCACGCAGACTTCCCATGAATGGAGAGGTGGGAGACTGGCAATCAAAAATCCCATTGGAATATTCCAGGGCCTTAGAGCCTAGATTAAAAAAAAATCAGAAAGCAACAGGATTTACATTAGATAAAGTACTATAGCTGCAGGAGGTAAACCAGTCTAGGAATAACGAAAACAAGCAATAGTGAAAAGATAATTAAACTGTGTAAATCTCCCCAAGTCATAGTTATTCCATGGAAAAATAAAACCACATAATTGACAGTAATTATCTATGGTCCAACACCTAACAAAGAGGTCAAATGTATGTTACAAAAAGAACCAGATCCTGGTGGGATCTGGTGTGAGATTTGCTGGCCTTAGGAAATGATGGGTAAGAAGGTGACATATCAGGTCAGGTGGATCCATGCCTTCCTGAAAATACAAATTTGAGAGAACATAAAGCTTTCAAATTCTCTAAAAAGCAGCCGAGGTGGAGACTGTGTATATTTTTAAAGGAGGGCAGCTACCAGTTAACTACCAGAATTTAACCTCTGAAGTTCTATGAATCACACATATACATTGTATACATATGTGTATAAGTGTTTTCCCCATTATTTTGTTTGATGCTCTTGTTAACATTAGCTTTTTAAAAAAAGCCACACAACTATTTTTGTTTTCTATTGTTTACAAAAGAAAACATTCTGCCATCTAAAATTCTCACAGCTGACTAACAGCCCATCTTGGAAGCAATCATGTATACTTGGTCATTTTTTTGATTTTCATTTTTTGGTCTGTCAAATGTGCATATGACTTTTATACCTAAATATAAGTAACTATAATATTTAGGGTTAGGGTTAGCAGCTTTAAGGATCACCTGATGATGGCAATATTACAAATATATATGCCTATGACGGGCTTCCATTCCATTAAGTCTCATTCATAAAACAAGGTTGGCATGGGAAAGAGATGTATTTAGAAAAAGGCTGTAAGTATTTATAGTCTCCTGTTCTCCCTTCTACTTGAGTTGGAAAATTACTAACAATAATTTGAATAAACTCAGGTCCTACCTATCCATAACACTTTTTTTTTTTTTTTTTTTTTTTGGTTTTTCTCCGGTACCGGGAACTGAACTCACGACGTTGTGCTTGCCAGGCAGGTGCTTTTGCTGCTGAGCTAAATCCCCAGCCCCTCCATAACACTTTTGACTGATTTAGTTTGCTAGGGCTAAAAATCAAATACCCTAATCTAGTACAAAAGATAAAATGTAAACTCTTCAAATATTATTCCAGAAATATCATTTCTCTCAACTACATTTTTTCTAAGACTCTAAGTAAAGTTAAATGACTGATAACAGCCTGGACCTGGTTCTAAATATGTTTTCTGAAATCATGACAAAGGAAATCTAATCTCTTTTCTAGACAATAATTTTTGAACTCATTAAAAGCATATATCCTGCCCAGAGCAAAAATACCATTTTCTATATAGAACTTAATCTGAACTTTACTAGATTTAGTTGTTAAACTCTTCACCTTCAAGTTTATTTCTGCTAAACAAGTTTAGTTTGTAAATAACTCTTTGAAAACAGTATTCCAAGAAGTAAATAATCTGCAAAGGAATTAAAATGGAAGACAGGTCTCTAGGAAATATAAGCTAACAAATGTGTCACAGAGTCACCCAAAGAGAACAGGGTCAAACTGAGGACCAGGAAAAGCTAAGCAGCTGGGGGCCAGGTCAGCTACAACCTAGGAGAGGTGGGATCCAACTAAGCTTACCCCTGACCCTGACCACAGGGCAGGCTACAACCACACTGACTAGCCTATGCTCAATCCTCTCCTCACTATAAAGGTCCTAAATACACACGGATTTCTCTTGAGACAAAATACATAATGTTACAGAAAGGTCATCTCCTCATCAGCCCCCATCACAGTGAGAAAACAAAGGCGCTGGTGCTGCTTCTGCTCTGCTCCCATAGTAGAGTACTGCTGAAGGTTCTTGATAAAAGAGCACTATGATGAAGGCTGTATTTTAGAAAAGAGATCATGATGGTAAAGATGCACAAACCATAGCAGAAAGCAAGAGTCTTAAAGACATCAAGTAGGAGTGTGACTTGGTCACAGTGAGGTAACAGCAGCACAGGCAGGGTGGACTCTAGACAAGGTGAAAAGGAAAAGCAAAATTTGGGAGGAGGTAGAACTCACAGAACTTAAATAACTAACTAGGAAGCATGAAAGGAAAAAGGGCACAAAATAATTTTAATATTTGATTTAAGAAATTATGGATAGAGGGTTATGAAATGACCTGAGATAGAGGCTCCTAAAGAAACTTGTGAGGAAAGATGATAAACTCAGAAACTTTTTTTTCCTTTTTGGTGTTTACTGTTTTTGGAGTGCTATGGATGAAAGCTAGGGCCTTGTGTACACTAGGCAAGTGCTCCACCACCAAGCTACATCCTCAGACCTAAGTTCAAGACTTTAAATGATGACATTGACGGGTCTTGAGGACATTTCAGGGTAGAGATCTGGTTGGCAGTTGAGACAAAAGACTGGAAGCTTAGCAAGGAATTGGGAAAGTAAATAGATGACTTATACTACTAGAACCATATGAGATGCAGATTCTTTATCCTTGAACAGAAACCTGGGACACAATTAGAATTTTTTTTAAAACAAAATTTGAGAATAATTGGCAAAAAGGAACAAAGATGAAATCATGGGAAACCCAAAGGGATTGGAGGAAAACAAAAAATGAGAACAAGAAAAAGAATGGATGAAAAGGTAATAGGAAAATGGTAAAATGTCATGACCCAATCCTTTAGATTACCTGCTATAATACCATCCATCTGTTCCAGCGCCGCAGCCAACATGTCACTTGCATCATTCATTTTCTTGCTTGTCAAGGGCAAATTCCAGCCTAGTTCTGAAAAAACAAAAAAACAAAAACTGATGTTATCATTATCTGCTTTAAATGTTGCATGATTACTAGTGGGTTTGTTACTTGAACCTCAAATTATAACTACACTTAGAAGTTCAATATATAGAAAAAAGAATTTCAGTAATAGTGGAGCTGAATTAATGGAATCATTTAATAGGCCATGGCCAATGACTTACTGTGCCATAACATCATGTGCTATACCTGTGTCACTTAATAAAATTCAGTTCTTCCACTCAAGTACCATAAAGGGCTGGGAAATATTCAGTAGTAAAGGAGTTTGGCTAGCATGCACAAAGACTTGAGTTCAATTGCCAGCACTGTAATACATAAATAGAATCCAACAGAATGGTTTCTATGTTGAACTCCGTAGGGCTCTATGACTCTATGAAGGGTGTCAGGGTGGGACATGGAAACTTGTTCAGGGTCATGAGAGATGCTGAAGGACAAGACTCCTATCTTCCTATAAACCCCATCCAAACTCTGCTCTCTTAATTTTTGCTTTGCTTTTATTAAATTTCTATAAACAGCATACTACAAGGGCAAAGGATGTTGCTCAGTGGTATAAACACTTGCCTGGCAAGCGTGAGGTCATGATTTTGATTCCCGGTACAAAAAAGAAAAAAAAAAAGCAAGAGTGTACTACAAGATTTGTCTAGGAAATGCATTCATTAACATATACACTGATGTCCTTTGGCATCTGTGGGGCATTGGCTATAGGACTCCATTGGATACTGAAATCCACAGATGCTCAAGTGCTCAAGATGCTCAAGGACTGAAGATGTTTGATACTTGCATGGAAACAAGTAAATACAGCATGGTCCAGTTTTTAACCTAAGTCTCTCTGACTTCCAAGATTATGGTGATTTTTTTAGTTTGATGCCATCTTAAGGACAGGTTGGTTTATTCTGAAATCATGTCACAATCTACTCATAATTTTCCCTGTTAGAAGATACATTAAAATTATACTTGCAAAAAATTTGGTCACTTACAGGGGAAAAAATTAAGATGCTCTTATTTGCCAACATTAATTAATCCATTTCAGGTATCAGAGTTAAGTGTCTATGTAGGTTCTCCCAAACAGCCTGAATATAGCCCCTGCTACTTTGCGGGTACTGAGGTACATTGCTTTTGTGGCAACTAAAGGACATGCTGTTTCACAGAAACCTTTTCGCTCTGTTACCAAGTAGTTAGACCTCACCATTCTATTTTCACAGATATAGTTATAGTTCTGGCATCAGCTTTTTTCCCCTCTACTATGGATTATAACAAAATAAATAATAAAGATATCATGTAATTATTGTGAATAATAAAGTATCAATAGTAAAATAATATCAATAATAAAATGTCATGCAATTATTATGAAATATTTATTTCTGATAGTATTAGCTTACATTAAGAGCAAGCAGGTGTTTATTTCATAAGCAAATTACTTCAAAATATTGGAAGGCTATACTTTGTTTTTAGAATAGTTTTATCTAAGGATTCTATAGAACTTTATTCCAGAAAGTAAAAAATATCACTACCATTTATGTGGAAATAATACAGTATAAAATATGCAAGGTATGTGTTAATAGCCAGAAACAAAGGGGTCAATAAACCAGGTTATGAACCTAGGTAGTTGTAAAAAATTGACTTACAACTTCAGATGGTTCACAGTCCAAAAAAGTAGGACACAAATTTAATAGCCACACTGCAGAATGGAAAATGAAAACCATGAGAATTGAAAGCATAAAGGATTATTTAGAAGATGTATACAATCCCTGAATTTCATATAATTCAACGGCTTGCTTTCCTTTTCACTTTAAAAGTAGCAATACACACACACACACACAAATATATATATATGTATAAAACATACCAGGTTTCATTATAAACATAGGAATATCAATAAAACAAAGAAATGCCCACATTAGAAAATCTTACCACCTCACTAAATTAGAAAACCAAACTCATCTTTGTTAGCATCTGTATTTTGTGTAGAACATAAACACCTTTTCAAGTATGAAGGTAGTTAACCCATTTGCCTGTGTTCCTGTCAGTGAGCCTTTCAAGCAGTATGTCATGGATGTGTGAAACAATGTAGACCATGTTTGTCAGAATATTGAAGAACCGGTTTCTTAAAAAACTTCCAATTCACTAGACACTAATAATTTAATATAATTAAATAATGATAGTATTTTAATTGCTATAAAAGTTTATAAATGCTTACTAACTGTGACAGTTAAGCAGGGTTGGCAACTTGATTGGCTTTAGAGCTGAAGGGATTAGTAAAGAACCAACCATAAAGCACACTGCTAGGTGTGCCTTGGGTAGGTCGTGGAGGTGTGCATTTGGGTACTATAACTCATCACTGGCCCCTTCCTCTCTGGCACTGTTCCCCTGCTCTGCTTCCCGGATTCCATGAAGTGAGCAGCTTTCCTCCACCATGAGGCCCCTGCCTTGGAGCCTGCTGACCACACACTGAATCCTCTGAAACCATGAACCAAAGTAAACCTCTCCTCCCTTAAGTTGTGTGTGTCAACTGGAATATTTTTACTTTATCTAGCAACTGGAAAGCTGAATAATACACTCTCATTCTCCATATTCATCACATAGCAACCTACCAGTAACTGTCAGGAGAAGACAGTAAGGCATAAATAATAAAAATGTGTAACATGGCAAAGGTGGTACTTGCTAAGGCAGAAGAGATTGAACATGATAAAGGGGTCCAGAGCCTGGAGGAGTTTGCATACTACACAGGTGGTCAGTGAGCAGTAACAGAGTCAAAGACCAAAGATTTTTCTAATAAATTAGAAATAACTGACTACTGATATGCTGCTACTGTTCTATTTCTTTGTTTGTTTCTAATTTACTACTCTCTTAAAAATAAAAAAAATACTATTAAAAACTTCTACACTTAGTTTATTCCTTCCCATAATTTAAATTTTTGTTCCATTTTACATCTTTTTAATATTGCCTATTCTGAACATATTCTTATGTCAATTAAACTATATAAGATGCTAAAAAAAAATAACTTACCACAGTTCAGGAGTATAGCAAGTGTAGAAGTCTCACAATTCAATAAAAAAGGAAGGGATGAAGATATAAATAAGATATTTAAAAGAAAAGTAGTAACTTTCAAATAGAGTAATATGAAGAGATACTATCATTAGTAATCAGAGAATTTAAAATACTGTGATACTGTATTATACTAAGCTAATGAGAAAAAAAAAACCATGGCTTGTAGAGGATGTGGATTCACACAATTTCTTATAGAATATAGTGGGATTATGAAGTGGTTTGATCACTTTCAATAATAGGGTGATACGCCATCTAAAACTAAACATCACCTTCATTTTCAAAACGGTAATATTTCCAGTACATAACTCATAGCAAAACACAAATGTTCACAGAGGGAATCTTTTTGTTTTTAATTTTTTAATTTAATTTAATTTTATTATTTATTTTAAAAATAAAAGGGAAACATTAACAGACAGACAACCTTTTACAAAATAGCAAAAGAACAGTACAGACAATACAGAGTTACAAACAAAGTGGTAGGAAATTAACAATGCTTCTTGCATTACATATTGACATTTCAAAGTGGTTTCTCATGAAAACAGAGACATGCCATATTGATCAATCAAGGACTCATCGACAGTTTCTTTCAGGAAAGAAATAGAAGACAGTAGAACAACTATGTTAACTACCCTGTATATACATACATACACTATTTCTCCTTCATTTCCTTCTCTTTTCCCACATCCCAGTTGCCCTTTACCCTTGAGTGTTTTCCTATCATTTCACAATGTCTATCATACCTCCGAGTTTAAATTAACTCTTTCAGGCTTCACACTAGTGAAAAAATATGGTGCCTGCAAACGCAGGTCTGATTTATTTCACTTATGAGTATGGTCTCTAGTTGTGACCATTTACCTACAAAGGCCTCGAGTTTATCTTTCTTTTTTTTTTTTTGGTTTTTCTCCGGTACCGGGAACCGAACTCACGACCTTGCGCTTGCCAGGCAGGCGCTTTTGCCGCTGAGCTAAATCCCCAGCCCCAAGTTTATCTTTCTTTATAGCTGAGTAATATTCCATTCTATAAAAGTACCACAATTTTCTTATCCAATCTTCGGTGGAGGGACATTTGGGTTGCTTCCACAATTTAGCAATTCCAAATTGTGCTGCTATGAACATAGGTGCACATACATCACTGTGATATGATGTTATTAGATCTTCTGGGAAAATACACAGAAGGGGGATAGTTAGGATGAATGGGACCTCTAGACCTAGTATTCTGAGGATTCTCCAAACTGATTCCCACAGTGGTTTCACCAGTCTGCATTCCCACCAGCAGTGGAGAAGGGTTCCTATTTCTCCACAGCCTTGCCAGCATTTGTTATTGGTTGATTTCTTAATGCTAGCCATTCTTACTGGGGTAAGATGGAATCTCAATGTTGTTTTAATTTGCATTTCTCGAATGACTAATGATGTTGTATTTATTTGCATTTTCTCATGTATTTATTTGCCATTTGTATTTCCTTAGCTGAGAAGTGTGTATTCATCTCAGCTGCCCATTTTTGGATTGGGTCTTTGAATATGGGGGGGCTGATATTTTTTAATTCTTTGTATGTTCTAGATAGAAGCCCTTTGATTGAGGGACAGTCAGCTACGGTTTTGTCCAAGTTTGTGGGTTTTCCTTTTACTCCGCTGATGATTTCTTTTGATTTGCAGAAACTTTTCAGTAGGATGAGATTCCAGTTGTCGATTCTTTCAAATGTTTCACGTGCAATTTGGTTTTTGTCATGAACTCTCTGCCTACCCCTATGTCTTCAAGGTTTTTACCTACTTTCTCTTCCAATAGATTGAGTGTTTCTATTTTAACATTGAGATCTGTGAACCATTTTGACTTGAGTTTGGTGCATGGTGATAGGCTTGGGTCTATTTTCAGTCTTTGGCAGGTAGCAAGTCTTTTTCCAGAACCACTTATTAAAGAGGCTATTGTTC